CCCTCCCTCAGCGCCCAGATGCCACTGCTGCTGTTGCTGCTGCAGGTCGCCCGCCATGTTCCACGCTGCCCCTGGTGGTCAGTGCACGTCATAGCGAGTGATCAAACTCCTGTTCTCCGGGTCGAACTCCCAAGGGGACACTTTGCACATTAGCCTTTTATATATATAGATAACTGGAACATTTCTTCTAGTTGTAGAATTTCCACACAGTCAGCCTTCCTGTGGTTCTGGGTGATGTCTGTTTTGTCTTTTAGTTGTAGTTTTGAAGTGGTTGTGCAAGGCAGCAATTTCAGGTGTTTACCTATGCCGCCATGTTGGTTTCTCCTCATGACAGTATTTTTAAGAGAAATGATTTGTAGTCTGGGTTATTATGGATTAACAATTAGACATTTTACTAACCTGTCCATACAATTATATTTAAATGATAAGAAAATGACAATTTCTCATTTTAGATCCTAATAGGCCATATTTTGAAAAAAAATTGGAGTTAATGAATAGTAACTAATATATATACATTGATCTATCTTGTGCTTGTAATAGGAACCGATATTCTTAAAATAGAAAGTGTTATTTGGAATGTTACAACATTTACACAAAAGTGGGTAGAAATGGAGTAAGATGGAGAAGTCTGGAAATTGTTTCAAATAAGCAGAAGTGAATAAATGTAGGCATGGTCTTTCTACTTTATTTTTTGTAACTTTTAAGATGATAACCACAAAAAATGTCCTTAGGCATTTTCTTCCTTGTTCATAGGAAAACTCAAATGACAAGGAGCTAAAACAACTTTATAGATATTGCTTTTGAAAATCACTTTATAATTTACTTTGTGAAATCTGTCACATTTGCATTTAGATTTATAAATTTCAAATGTTACACTATTACATAAATATTTAATTATTTAAAAAAACTAGATCCAGTTATAGACATCTCAACCATCTATAGTGATATAGTAAGATTTTTATTTCACTTTATAGATTTTGAAAATTTTCAGTAGTTTTGCATTTCTAATTAAGGGTGGCATATTAGTAAACTTTGCAGAGTGGAAGAGAAGTTGTGTCCTCTGCTCCTAGAGGTGACCTGGTCTTGTTTAAGTAAATTTTTCCGTTAATATTTGTTACATGGATAAATAACCAGTAAATTAAGAATTGGCTATGTGGAAGATAAGTGCTTTTTTCAGAAGATAATGTTGATTCAAATAGTTGTGAATGTTTAAAGATACTGATTCTTTCTATAACCTGCTTTTGAAAACAAACTCATTTAGGTTATGTCAGGAGCTGTTTTAAGTATTTTTGATTAACTGTTTTTCTGAGGGGAGTATGGTTGTAATAAGATTAAATAATTCTTATTTAGTGGCATATTGTTATATTTTATGTTTGCAGGCATAATTGTTAATCATACTCATTCTTTGAAGAACCAGTGTTAAAATGTAATTGCTTAGTTGAATTGTTTACATATTTTAGTTTTTAGATATATCTTGAAAATATTAATAAAAATATGTTGTCAAAGAATATTGTGGTAATAAACTTGTGTGATATATGGAACATTACATGATCATATGTATTTTGATGGGATTATCAGTTTTAATTTTTTTTTTAATAGGCGTATTCTACATTCTAAAGGGGAGCTAAGTGAAGATAGACATAAACAGTATGAGGAATTTGCTATGTCTTATCAGAAGCTCCTGGCAAATTCTCAATCCTTAGCAGATCTTTTGGATGAAAATATGCCAGATCTTCCTCAAGACAAACCAACACCAGAAGGTAAGATATTCTTAAAAACAAATATTATGATATTTTAGTAAGTACTACCACTAAAGTGTATTATTGCCAGATGTGTGTTGAAAATTTAAGCCTCTTACATGCCTTTAAAAAATTGTAATGCAGTAGTAATAAGACCTAATAAGAACCTTGAAAAACTATTTGAAATGCTCTGCTGAATGTAAAAGGCTTTAAACTTAGAGAATAATAATTAACTCATAATATTATGATGAGTTCCTTTGAGTTCTTTTGTAACTAATTTCCTTGGTTTATATCCAAGGGGCCTGTTGTAAACCATACTTGAATTATAGAAAGATTCACTTTATTTATCAAACTAGATGCCTGGTGCATGAAAAATGTGCACTCAGCAGTGGTGGGGGGCAGTTGTCCCTCAGCCTGGCCTGCGCCCTCTGGCAGTCTGGGGCTCTCGAAGTCCGTGACCCTTCGCTCCTTACTGCCCGCCTGCTGGGCTCCTTAGCACTGCCTTGACCCCAGCTTCTGGCTGAGCAGTGTTCCCCCTGTGGGAACACGCTGACTACCAGGGGACAGCTCCAGCTCCCTGGTGGTCAGTGTGCATCATAGCGACCAGTTGTTCCGCCATTCAGTCAATTTGTATATTAGGGTTTTATTATATAGGATTGGTGATAAAATGCATTTGACCTTTGGAATTCTAGTATATCTATATCCTTATTTTTAATCTGTTTGTTTTCAATGCTATATTATCTTGCTATTTTGAACTAAATCTTACCTTACAATTTGTGATATAAATTGTTTAGTATTACGATGATGATGATGTACTTATTTATTTATTTTTAATCCTCACCCAACTAGTGAGAGTATTTTTTTCATTGATTTTTAAAGGGCGTGGAAGGGCAGGGGGAGGGAAGAGAGAGAGAGGGAGAGGGAAGAGAGGGAGAAAAACACCAATGTAAGAGAGACACATGGACTGGTTGCCTCCATCATGTGCCCCGATTGAGGGCGGGGGTTGAACCTGCAACCCAGGTACATGCCCTTGACTGGAAATTGAACCCGAGACCCTCTGCTATGCAGGCCAATGCTCTAACCACTGAGCATGCCTGCCGGGGCTGTTGATGATTTATGAGAAGAGTTCTTTTTCATATTATTTCAAAGGTGTTTTAAACTTCCTTTTTGATTATCTTTAAGTTGGTAGGTTCCTTAAAATATTGCTCTAACCTGTCACACTAACTACTTGATAAAATAATTATATTTATGTTAGGTAGATAAGCATTAATACATTAGTCTTTTATTTTGTTTCTATTTTTGAAATAAGTTATTAATCTTAGAACTATCTGGCAATCCTATTTACTTAAAAGTTTTAATGGAAAGTATTTGTACAGTGTGTGTATTATGTGCCATTGAACCCGCTCCAACTCCTGGTGACTCTGAATGAGTGATGTGTAGTGTCCTGTTCTCAACACCCTGCTCAGTTCCTATAGACTCATGCCCATAGCTTCTTTTTGTTTTAAACATATTTTTATTGATTTCAGAGAGGAAGAGAGAGGGAAAGGGAGAGAGAGATAGAAACATCAGTGATGACAAGGAATCATTGATTGGCTGCTTTCTGCACACCGCCTATTGGGGATCCAGCCCGCAACCTAGGCATGTGCCCTTGACCAGAATTGAACCTGGGACCCTTCAATCCGCAGGTTGATGCTCTATCCACTGAGCCAAATTGGCTAGGGCAGTGGTCGGCAAAGTCATTAGTCAACAGAGCCAAAGATCAATCGACCTCAGCGAACCTACCTCAAAACAATGTACCTCCCCTGAGCTGTGTATCCCGTTGCCCGACCGACTGACACCCCCCACTTCTTCTAATGCCACTTCTTCAAAATAGACTCCCCCAGGCCGAAAACTGACTTCTTTGCATGGACCATGAAATTTCAATCGCACTGTACGTGCGCTCCCGCATGTGGTATTTTGTGGAAGAGCCACACTCACGGGGCCAAAAAGCCGCATGTGGCTCGCGAGCTGCGGTTTGCCGACCACTGGGCTAGGGCCATAGCTTCTTTTATGGAATCAATTCATCTTATATGTGGTCTTCCTCTTTTCCTGCTGCCTTCTATTTTTCCCAGCACTCTTGTGTTTTCCAAAGCACCCTGCCTTCTCATGATGCACCAAAGTAGGGCAGTTTCAGTTTTGTCATTTTTGCTTCCAGTGATAGTTCAGGCTTAATTTGCTCTAGAACCCACTTGTTCGTCTTTCTGGCAGTCCAGGTATTGGTAGCACTCTTCTCCAACACTGTATTTCAAATGAATCAGTTTTTTCTGTCAACTTCTTCATTGTCCAACTTTCTCATCTTTACATAGTAATTGGGAAGAGAAGGGTGTGGATGACCCTTAGCCTTGGTCTCTAATGACACATCTTTGCTCTTGGGGATCTTTCCTAATTCTTCCATTGCTGCCCTTCCGAGTCTCAGCCTTCTATTGATTTCTTGGCTGCAGTCTCAGATAAGTGAACCAAGGTAAGCAAAATCTTTAATAATTTCAGTGTCTTCATTGTCTATGCTAAAGTTGTGTGTTTCTTCCATAGTCATGATTTTTGTCTTTAATGCAGTCCTGCTTTGGCACTTTCTTTCACGTCTATCAGAAGTCATTTGAAATCCTTGCTACTTTCTGCCGGTAAGATAGTATCATCTTCATATCTTAAGTTATTGTTATTTATTCTACCAATTTTCATTCCTTCTTCCTCTGAGTCTAGCCCAGTTTTTTATATGTTATGTTCTGCACACAGATTAAACAAATAGTTAAAATGCAACCTTGTCTGACACATTTGCCTCTAGGAGATTATTCTGTCTCCATATTTGTCATGATAGTGACTTCCTGTTCAAGATACAGCTTATTCCTCAGGACAATCAAACACTGAGCCACACCCATTTCTTTCAGAGCAACCCATAGCTTTTCATGATCAGCACAATCAAAGGCTTTATTATAGTGTATAAAACACATAAACTAACCTGAAATTCTTGGGAGCACTCTGTTATCCAGCAAATGCTCACAACTAGATCTCAATACCTCTTCCTTTTCTGAATCCATCTTGAACATCTGGCATTTCTTACACCATGTAAGGTAGAGGTCATTATTATTGTACTTGGGGCCCGGTGCAAGAAATTCG